TATGTAACTTAGTACATAAGAATCAAACAGCGAACGTGATATTCAAGTTGTAAATTTGCTTATTAAGGGATGGATTGTTTCAGGTAATATGCAAAGCTTCCTTAACTTTGAGTTTATAAGCAGAATCTGCAGAGTCAAGAACGGTGAAACATCTCTCATTAGCAAGATCCTGACAGCGTTCTGAAGCCTGCAAATGTTGAAAAATATGAGAATTCCCGTCCCTGAAGTGTTCTTGCACTCGTGTTGAAAGTCTTCTATTGGTTTCTCCAATATACGTGGAATTACATCCCACACAATTAAATTTGTATACAACACGAGCACGGAACATTTCGGGAACGGTGTCCTTCACTCCTAGAAAATTAGAAATTTTGAACGATTTAAAAGCCAGCTTAATTGCAATTCCATGACAATATTTACTAGTAATTTTGTTAATTCTGCTTTGCGTATTACGTGCAAACTGTAAATATGGCAATTTTAAAATAGCAAACATTAACATTAACATTATTATTGTCTTTAGGGGTCTCTTTAGAACCAGAACAAAGGACGTGAGCATCACTTATTTTTATCCAGTTTATTATTCTTAAAATGTGGTAATATTTCATGATGACATTACCGTATATTTTGTAGTCATCTAACTTGTATGATATCTAAACCATTGTTTTATATAAATGGCACCGACCTGTTCTGCAGCTATTGCTGTCCTTATACTTCTTAGAAACTGCAACCAATACCACTGCAGCATTCTCAACAGCAGCAGCCATAGCTCCTAGAATATCGCCCTCTATAATATATCAAACTTCGACGCATTATTGTACTAGTATTACTTTCCAAATACACGGTATATCATTTTTTATTTCGAAGTACTAAACAATCTTTGTTTCACTTCTAATTATCTCGCATGAACAAATCAATAAAAGTACAAGTACATTATTATATATTATCATCGTCAAGCAATCATTTTATTGTTTGAAGGTTTGCATGGCGAAGTAATAACATACCGGTATATGTTTCAGCTTGCGGTACACCACGTAGGTTGTTCTGAAAGAACTGCTGTAGTTAGCAAAGTCTTGCGTTTCAAATGAGTTGCTTCAATCGTCTTCAGGAGAATAATATTATTCATTCTTATTCAGGAGAATGATATTATTCTCCTGAAGATGATTGAAGCAACTCAATCGAAACGCCGAGACTTTCTCAACTACAACAGTTATGTTCAGAACTACCTTCGTGGTGTACCGCAAGCTTAAACATATATGCAATCAATTTAATTTCACAAATGTAATACACATTTAAGGAAAAACAAAATTGCAAGATTTTCGAAATGGCACTAATCGTTTTTCTGTTTAATTTTTGTACTACGCACCATAAAATAAATAATAAATGTTGTCATGAAATCAGTGGTACCAGATCTCTTATTATGTAAGAACCAATGCATAATCTCATGTTAGTAAACAAAATATTAATATCCTGTACTGGTAGGTGACCCAAGTTACATTATTATCAAAACATTTCTTACTCATCTTGTCAACGTCCATCCATACGTTGTACCCTGCCTGTTGGAGTTTCTCTTTCAACTTAACCATTGTTGACTGAACATCCCACTGGTAGCTCAGCATCACATGAGGGCCGTACTTTTCAAACATTCCGGACGAAGTAGTCCCTTGTATGCCTAGCTCCTCAAGTTTACCATCAAACGTTTCCCATAATGCCCCAGAGGACGCCTTCCTCAGCATAGGGTTTTGTGATGTCTGCCAATATTTTAATGCTGGCAATTTAAATCGAAATGCCACGTAACTTTTTAATTATTTCATTGGCTACTTAAATATGAGAAACTTATAGTTATAGTTGATCAGTTTGGCTTGCTCTAGCATCAGCCGGGAGAATTTAAACACAGACATTTGTCAAGCTTTTGGTGACACGTTCAAGTGTTTAGCCATGGCCAATGTATTTAGACATGTTCAGCAATACAAGTTTAGATATTAGGCATCATGGTAGCAATGCTAAACACGTTAAGATTCTAAGCACGTTATGCCTAAACCCGTTTATACGTGTCACTAAAAGTGAGACAAACTTGCATGGAGCCTTGTGTTTAAATCTTCCACGCTGTTTTTACAGTGTGCAGTACATTTTATAAGGCCTATATAAGATAAAAAATATAATGTCATCAATACCTTCAATAAGCTTTTTTTCATCTTTGATTTTCTGTCTATTTTCCTTCATGAACGCCAACTTCCACGTCAGTTCAGTAGCTATGATATCTATTGCTATGTTGTTTTTAACTTTTGTTGTTTTTGAAAGCAGCTGTAGCCCGCCATAATCGACGATTTTGACTTTATTATTGTCATTTAAAGCTAGATTGTTCAACCCTAACAAAATTTCTGACGGGCTATACCCATGAGCAACAAATTCATCCTTTGAGTCCAGCGTTTTGGATAGAAGATCCGTTAGAAATATCACCGTGCTTCCACTATCATTCAAGAGATCAATTTCTTCATCGGTGATTAAAAATGAAATTGTCAGGTAGCAATCAGCTCTTGAAACCAAATATGTAGTCACGGAATATTCCAATAGAATTTCAATGGCACTGTTTTCCCTCAGCATCGGTCTGGTATCTGGACAGAGTCTAGCCATATTACCAATGACACCAAGAACTGAGTTTATAAAATGCCATTTATTGTCTGTGAGATTTGTCGGCAGCAGATCCTCATGTTGAAGAAATGCCAACAACAGTGGAATAGCCCCATTTTCTGCGAGATTGGAACATGCCTCAACAGATGAATCGGTAAAGTTACACAATGTTGATAGTACATTATAGAGAATTTTATATCTGTAATCATCATCAGAGAATCCATGGAATATTTTTCGTTTGAATAAGTCCGATTTATCTAGCTGCTTGTTAAATCTTATAGCCTGTTCAATAAATCCTGACGCACATAGTTTATCAATAATCAATTTGCGATAGATTTTGAACTCATCATTAAAAAACCAACCTCCACATGTCTTGAATAGGATATACATATTTTTGTTCGCAGCAACATCGGACTTGCTAAGTTTCAGTATAGCGCCCTCTAATTCTAACATGAGGTTGTTAAATTTATCTTGAAATTTGGAAGGGACGTCTTTTGCTGATGGCGGCAAAGTTAATTCGTGGAGTTCAATTATTGAATTTAATTCCTTCTGATGATTTGCAGCGGCCATTTTGTACGTTACAAATTGCTTCGAAGTGCTTCAAATCTGTCAAAAACATCGTATTATAATTACATGATATGAATATGTTAGCAATAGGAACCAAAACAAATTTGATCTGAGGTTACGTGATACACGAGGAAATGCATATACTGCACTGTAATAAAGAATATAGATAGAGGAAGAACGAGCAGCGAGCGTATTTTGCATTACAGAATTGTAACGCTTTTTACAGTACAGGAAGTGCGTCATATCATGCGAGTGAAGCCCGCTCGCGGCAGTGTGTGAACTGCCTATGCTGATAATAATAATTACAGGTAATAAGGTGGGGGTGGGCTGCTTGCGATGCCATTTTCGACTTGCAGGGGACGGCCTTTTCTAAATGTATATAAGCCTATGTCTGCATCAATTGCCTGTTATGTCCTATTATCTAATAACCTAACATTACATGATCTGCTGTTGAAATTTCATTGTTATTTCATAATGGCTTGTTTATATAATGTAGGCCTATACACTTGTCAATAACGAATTTTCACTTGTATTTGTAACGGGATAGCGGCCTATTTTATCATAGTACTGTAGTTTCGTCCATGATACTGCATACTGAAATACATTCATACAGGGAGAAAACTAATACAGTACAGTACTGCACTGGGGTGGATGCAGGTTGAGGGTGGGGTGCAGACGGAGCAATCGTACGCTTGAACGTGTATTAAGAAAATTAATTGTTTTATTTTATCGTTGATATGAATTACCAGTAAGATTTTTTTAGGTGCGAGAGTGAAATTTCCGGACACATAGAGTTCTATATTCTCATAATTTTTGCACCTCAGCTCCAACTATGGTGGGGCGGAGGTCTGGTGTCGACTCTTACGCACCCAATACCGCCAATCCAGCATCCTTATGGGTATCCTCCCAGTTGGTCGAAATCCAGTTTGTCGAAACCTGGTTTGTCGAATTTAACTCACTGCCGAAAACCCAGTTTGTCGAATCCAGTTCACCGAAAACATGAAATCCCAGTTGGCCGAAACCCGGTTTGCCGAACCCAGTTTGCCGAATTTGAATTTTGTCGTCACTGTCGTACAAAAGCGCAGCACACTACTATTTTGAAATAAAATGTAATAAACAACAATTATGTAGGCGAAATCGAATGTAAACTCAGACAATTATTTTGAACTAAATGTAATAACGGTAAATATTGTAGGCGAAACCGAATGAAAAACTCAGACTTAACAACCACAAAAAAATTAGTTAAAGACCATCAAAATGGCTTCCTGTTGCTCACTACTTTAATTTACCGAGCCATACTATCAGTGATTTAGGCTTTATAATCTTAGGCACCAATTTCAAATCTACTAAGGCTAGAGGATTGGGCGGATACCCTCGGGACATCTTAGCCTTAGTAGATCTGAAATTGGTGCCTAAAGATTAACTTGCATAAGTGTGGTGTGTGTGTGTGTGTTAGTGTGTGTGTGTGTGCGTGTGTGCGTGGGTGTGTGTGTGTGTGTGATAATATTTTGCATTTGTATAGCACACTCATTGTGCACTCTTGTATGCGAACCAGTCTACCACGTCACACAGGGCTGACCCAAGCCATGTTTGAGTCAGTCGTTTTTCATACTTGAAATCCTGAGCTGCACTGGTGAGATCTAACAAGACCGA